TCCAAACCATCATAACACCACCTAAAAACGGTCTGACCGGCCTAAAAACAGGCAGTAAACTGCTCATTAATTGTCAGTTAACTGACAGTTAACTGGCAATTAACTTGGTGGTTTTCAATGTCCTGGGCTTTAGAGTCCGACAAAACACCAGTCTGTTGAGTGAGCTATTCGTTCATTGCCTATTTATAGTTTGTTTATTCACTTCCTCAAACGGTAAGACTTAGACAGAAACAGTCCCATTTACTTCCTCAAACGGTAAGACTTAGACAGAAACAGTCCCATTTCAGTTACCAACTCGCTCTGTAACTTTTCTTCTCTGTAACGAATTTTTTATTGAGAGTTGATTACTGTGTTCCAGTAGTTGAGCTTCTACTTCGTGAGATCAATCCCTGTATATATATCCAAGATGCATCGACAAGGATATAGTGTGGACAATACTAGAAGGTTTGGGCAGCTTAGATATAGAGACAATGGTAGAATTGTCTATTTCTCAATTTTCTTCCAGTTGCTTCAGCTCTCGAGAAGATCACTATATGGCTTGTCCGGCTAACGGTCCCCGTTTTTTGCTCTTTTTAAAAGAATCCTTGCAATAAAGTTAGAAACTAATTTAAAATTCTAAATAGATAATCAAATAGATTAAACGTTTCTTTACAAAATGAGGTGTCTTTACTCTGGAGGTTGATTCATTATGAAAATAGAGCTATTTTACAAACAGTTCGAAAAGTCGATTTTGGAATCTGAAAAACATTTTTGAAAGAGTGAAGACAATCAGACAAATACTCGAAAAGTATATCGGTTTCTAAAAAATAGTTTGCTCTACGATATGTGATAGCTTTTAAAGATCCAAACTATCTTAATTAATCTTTATTAATTAAAGAAAAGCAAAGAAAACGATAACGCACTTACGAAAGACAGTTTCTAACTTTATTGCAAGGATTTTTTTAAAAAGAGCAAAAAAACGGGACCGTTAGCCGGACAAGTCGTATAGAAGATACTTCACATCGATGAGTTGAATGTGTACATAAATGTTGATTTATGAAAAAAAATATAACATTATCTATTATTCTATCTACTTATTTTTTCAGCTTACTTTTCTACAACATGTCGTGTGGTTCTATAACACCAAGGACAACATCAACGACAGCAGTAGTTTCATGTTCCACAGGCGATTGTTGTTTCAATATTCTTCAATTACCACCTGAAATTTTAGCAATCATATTTTCCAAGAGTTTTGGAAAACCATCATTTGATCAGTTATTAAAATTTTCGACTGTATGTAGTCAAATTCGACATTTAATTACAAACGAGTGGTTTCTACAAAAATATTATTTTTCGTTTTTCCATAACGTTATTATTTGGTGTAGGTTTTCAAATGAATCAATTGCTGGTGGCGGTATTGATTTTTTACATAATTCAGTTAAAACTAATATCGTTGGTGATAAAGGAATGATCACCTGGCCTACACTACCTCAAATTGAACTGAATGGATTTTTTGATCACGCTCCATGTTTAAAATTTAGTGATAACAACACACGCATTGAAAAACGTTATGAATTGAATGCTGCTGATAGTTTTTCAGTTTCATTTTGGTTTTTGGCAGCATGTAGAACAGATTTACCATTTATATATATTCGATTTACAAATGAAGAAAGTAGATTATCTTCTTTTCTTCGAATAAATGACAAGAATCAGTTGGAATTCTGTGCTACTCGTACAACCGGATGGATAACATTGGGTCAATTGCAGATGAATGAATGGCATCATATTGCGCTTGTATTTTTACCATCATCATCGGAAACACCGACAATGAAAATTTATGTGAATAGTAATAAAACTACGCTGGAAATACATAAATTACCCATAATAGGGCCGTTCGAATCTTTAAAACTCGAACTACGATATGTAAATGGTAGTTTTGCCGACTTGGCTGTTTGGTCTACAGTATTGTCATCAATTGAAGTTCGTGCAATTTATGATCAAAAAACAACAATTAATAAAGTTAATGTTGCTAAATATATATTAGATAATTGGAATAAGGAATAGTAAGTGTATAAAACTAGTTTTTGAATTAATTTGAAAGTATTTCTACGATTTTTCTTCTTTAATTATATAAATAATATATATATACATCAGTGACCGCCTTCGCAGCGGTTCATTTTTTCTTGTCTTAAAGGGATAAAGGATAAAACTGCACAGGAAATCGATTATAGAATAAAGTGAGCCGTGCTTCCTGCCTTTGATATTATGCTCTACTGTATCTTACTGCAAAACTGTGCTTTTGTCGTTTATTCGGTTCGATTTCTGTTTCAACATGTTTATTAGTCCTTTTGTATTTCTGTTTACCACGAGCAGTGTAGAAGCATATCCCGATCGGGCTATAGAATTATATCCCAATCGGGATATTATAGCTCGATCGGGACATATTTTACACTATATCCCGACCGGGCTATAATTCTATAGCCCGATCGGGATATACGGCTTTTCTAATATCCCGATCGGGATCTATGATTTTTTACGTTTGTTAATTTAAAAACGCACTCCAGTTGTGTTTTGTTCTCTCGTGCGTGTGGTCAGCATGTGTGTTATGGCTCTGTGGTATATTATAGTTCTTTTAGTATGTGGATACCAAAAAGGACTAATAAACATGTTGAAACAGAAATCGAACC